GCAGAGTAGCGTCTCAGAACATTTAATACAAGAGGGCTATACATATAAAACAGTCAGTAGTGCATCAAAAAAGTAGTTTAAGAGGAACTTCTTTGCATAGAAGATGTAGAATGTGGAATTCATTGCCAGAAACTTGTTGAAGTAAAAAGCATGAATATATTTAACAGGAAATTTGATGTATAGCTGAGGGTAAAGGGAATACAGGTATGAAAAAGGGGATTAGACTTATGTGGAGTATAACTAGTTGGGCCAAATGGTTTGTTTCTATTCTGTAATGTTCTGTAATAAAGAAAGTTATCTTGCGTAATACAATGCTTGTAGTACATAATGTTAGGTGTGAATTCCTGTAAAATATGTTCACAAAGCAAATTCACAGTCCCCTTCTGTAAAAATTATAAGTTCTACAAATTGTAAATTCTACAATCTGACAAATTATTATAAACCAAGAACAACATGAAGCAATCTGAATTTTGAGAAATGACAAATAACAAAGATGGATGAAGTTCTGAAACTGGACCATTTTCCTTCATTGAACAGTTGATACTTCAGGCATTTGCTTTAGTGAACAACTCGATTTCTTAAGTTATCTTCATAACAATATTGGTGAGATTTATTTTATTCTCCACTGTTGTGCAGCTGGGTTGAAAACTTTGGCACAGAGGGTCTGCCTTTACTCTTGTATATTCTGAAAAGATTACAAGAATCCCCAAGGTAGGATCATTACGTTTTGCATTCTAACCGCCTCTTGTTTATATCGCATCATCAAAACATCTCAAAGCATGTCACAGGATTTACTGTAAAGTGTAGGGACTGTGCATTTGTAGGCAAATGCTGTAGCCAGTTTATGCATAGCAATGTCGCACGAACATCAATGTAGTGAATGATCAGTTTGTAGGTCACTGAAAAATCGTGCCTCAATACCTGTCATTACAAACAAACCTTCTCCTTCCTGTTTTTAAGTTAGTTAATGGAATTCATGCCCAAGATGATATTTTTAGGCATTTTAATTGTAAAATCATTTTCTTGCTGAAACTATAGAAATTTCCTGAAACTTAAGGGCTCATTCAAATCATTTTTGTTCTGCTAATTGTTTCTTAATCGCCCTGTGAATGTCTTTGGAAAAATTCACGTGTTCAGGAAGGTAATGGTGGTAATAAAGAAAGGGCTTTGATAGGCAACACGTTGGAACTCAATAACTCTTGAACCATTCAGTTTCAGTGCTGATCAATGAGATATTTACGCTTTGGGCTAGTTCGTGCTGGAGTGATCCACTTGACAGCATCAATTATTGCTTGAAGTCATGAAAATACATCCTTCCTGAAGGATATACATGGATGCAAGTGGCCTGCCAGGAAATTATAAACTTTGGGGGGAGAAACAGTGGAGTTTACTGTAGTTCACTTCCCTAAATATTTTGTTCATCACTTGCACAGTATCCATTCTTGCTAAAGTAATATAATGAAAAATGCAATATATGTATCAATAGTTGATTGACAGCTTGGTCCTTATGTGAGAGAAAGAAACATAATGTGTATTTCACATGATAATAAGAAGACCAGATGCACCCATTTATAAAACATTGATTAACCTTATCATTCTTTTTTTCTGTTTAGTTGTATTGATTATTTAAGCTGAGCGCTGTTGATATGACTGGAGGAATTGCTGAGTGAAACATCTGACCCTCAGGTATATGAGGAGGCTGCATTAACCTCAATAATATGAGGAGACTGCCTGTATTATCCTCAATAATATGAGGAGACTGACTATTATCCTCAATAATATGAGGAGACTGCATTCACCTCAGCAATATGAGAAGGCCTCCTGAACCTCACCAATATGAAGAGGCGAATGGGCCTCAGATGGGACATTAAACCAATGTCTATATAGCTGCTCAGGTTGATATTAAAGATCTCATGGCTAAGGCTGTAAGAAAATCGTCCTCTGCAAACTGAAACTTGTTGCAATGTTTAATAACTGGTGGATGGTTCAGTTGATGGACAGGTGTGCTATTGGGAACACCTATTTATTGTAGTCATTAAATGTTGTAAAAAGTTGTGGTTTCCAAGCTGTGATTTACTTACAGCCTTACCCATAGTACTACAGGTATTCAAAAAAGAAGGGAGTGTTCCCAATGTTCATGAGTTAAATTTGTCATTCACCTCCTAGTTGTCTGTGGGACACTAAATTGGCTGACACTCTGCCTACAAATACAGTCACTATACTTAGCAATAATTACAGTGAATTCCTGATAATGTGTCACTCCAAGGGAAAGGAGCTCAGACTATACTGTAAAACATTCTGAGATGATTCAACGTTACATGCTACACTGAATGCAATGATCATTATTGTTCTTAATAATACTTTGATCAGGAAGAGGGTGCTTGTCCCTTTTTTACAGGTTGTTTCAATGGCTTTTTAGAAGTTCCAACAAGTGCATGGGACTCTTTGATAATTCACAAACCAATACTCTTTGATGAAAATTGAAGATTACACATCCCTGTCAGCTGCACTCGCCATTGACACACAAATATTAAAAAAAACTGGATTGATTTCCCATTTGTCTCTTAAGGGTTCTGCTTATGATATGTGCTGTACTCTAGTGTGAGATTTTGCCCACAGGGATGGCAGTGTCTTTCAATAGCTGCTTGAGTTGTGCAAATCAACCAAAAAGGGCTGTGACCAAACTAAACATGCCTCTATTTGAATTAAAACAGTCTGGAGAAGAACAATTTTAAAAACCAGCACGAGATCATCCGATGCCTCAAAGCCTTCATGAACAACAAGGTGGGTGAATCATTTATACTATGTGTGAGCGTTTAATCCATCCACAGCATTAACACCAACTGCAAGTCACAGCAGCACTTCTCCTCCGTGCATGATGCTTGGATTGGATCCACTTGTGCAGTTCTGCTTCCATTCCCTCAATACACAAACAGCCTTGTACTCTGGGCTTTTGGCTTTAAAGGATGTGAGAGAGAATAACAATAAATTCGACAGGAAATTCAACAGCTCTCAGCTGGTTTCAGGTTTGCACATGTGCTCTTTTCATCTTACAGTGGGGAGAGTTTGTGCTGTCTTGTTTGTCAGCCCAGTGGAGATTTTAATTGGTGCTGTTTGGATTAATAGCCTAACTGTTAAGATCTACAGATAAGCAAGGGGGACTTAATCTGCAGGTTTAACTCTTAAATAAATAAATAGGATGAACAACAATCACAATTAAGTGGGTTTACAGAGGAAACAAAAGGATAACAATTCTGGCTAGATTCTTGAGAAATTAAACTGGTTATGTTAAGATTTCTCCCATTTCTGATTATGTGGAGTCCTGAAGTTCAGTGGTTAGAGCACTCACCTCGCAAACTAGGTTCTATTACCAACCAGCAGGGCGAAATGTAGGGCATGTTTCCTTACTCCACGCGCCTCTGTTTATCTAGCAGTAAGTAGGAACTCGGTTGATAGTCGATTGGCGGATCGTTTTTCCGGGGATAAGAATCCCTCAAAAAATGTTTTAAAAAATAATAATTTGGACACTCAATCCACGACTGTTTGTGGGACATTGCTGTGCGCAATTGGCTGCCACGTTTTACCCACAAATATACAGTCAATTCACTTTACAGTATATTCTGTGAAGCGCTTTGAGACATCAAGAAGATGTGAAAAGCGCTATATCAAATGCAAGGATTATTATTATTAAATAGAATGTATAATTTTCCTCTCAGTTCTTTCTTGTTTCATCCGCTCCACTCATGAAGGTGTTACCCTTCATGTGTGAGCTCAGATGCCAATCCATAACTTTGTCATTATTTTAGTGCCCCAAACCCTTGTAATACTTGTTTCATTAAAAATGCTGTTTAAAAATGCTTTTAATGTTTTGCTATATAACCTGTTCTGTGCAAAAAATCCTCCTCCAGTTTTCTCCTGCTGGTGCTATCTCATACTGGCATGCGGTCCATCACTGCTGTACTGTGTACCTCAACCAAGTGAACATTCGAGATAGCAGACTCAGTTTAACTGCTCTATGGGCACATCTAAATCTATTAATCTATTAATCGCCACTAAATAAATAACAAATTAACCTCCAAATTTGTTATTGTAGCCATTGCCCCCTGCTCTTTCAAAGCTCTGAATAACTCATCCCACATCCTCTTCCTCCTACCACCTTAGCTAAGTTGAAATAAAAAAAATGATCGCATTATTTGCTTCTTTCTTTTTAAGTACACCAACACTGTGGAGCTTGCTAGGAGCGGTTAGAAATTCCTCTATGTTTAAAAAGTCCAAGCTTGATAGCCCCAAATTCATTTTAACCTATCTACCTCTCTATCTTTTAACTTTGATATTGTCTTGCACTATGATCTTTGCCTTCCTCCCCATTAAAGTTTCTCCGTATATAATTTGCTGTCCCCTGTGCATCTCTCTTAGTGTAGCTCCTTGTTTTACACCTCCAGATTAATAACATTTGAAAATTATCAGTGCAGTGGATGAGCTTGGGATTCATCTGTTCTGTTCTTTTGCTTTTGAACTTTTGTTATTAAAATAAAGTTGGCAAAATATTTCAGTTTTTTTTACACCAAATGAGCCTGCATAGCAATCTGATGTTTGATATCCAACCAAGTAGAAATTATAGCTGGAGACGGTAAGAGCTGTTGTGGTGGGCAGCAATAATAGCTTGAATGAACTCATCAAATTCAACATCTTCCCTGATTATTCAATTGAGTTTTATTCTTAGTGACTGGAAAATGGAAAAACACTTTCCGTCTCGCTTGTAAAAAGTGTGAATATAATTTTTTTCCTCAATCATAGTGCCACTTTTAATGATTTAGAATTCAAACTGAAAATCACATTATTTGTTATATATAATAATATATATCCCGTGTTTAGTAAAATATCTCACACATGTAACATCCATAATGCGTTCAGTGCTGTCAGTCAGCATATAACGCCCCAACATGCAGTGAATTTCCCCTTTCCCTTCCTAAAGAGATTTGACCCCTTTATTTCCGTCAATGGGGCTGCAGTTTAATGGGTACTGCTCACCCTCTGTACGTCGCTAAGTAGTCCTTAGTCCCATGTGAGTGTTAGCAGACTATTTGATGGAAAAGGTGGGTGAAGGGATGTCAAAGCCCAGCCTGATCTTGTCCTCACCCACCTCGAAATAGCAGTCAGGAGTAAGACTTCACATCAGCCTAACCTGAAGCACCAAAACCAGCTTCTTGACTGTTACCCCAGCTGAGATCAACTAATTCAGAATAGACTGGGGTGGGGGGGAATTAAATCTGGGACCATCCCAGTCACTTACCTTAATAATGGGATTCATCTCACAGGGGCCAATCAGTGTGATCCTGTGCATTACCAATTAGGTATTTTAGCCACAGTCTTTACACCAAAATGGCTCTGATGTTCAAGGTGTCATGACTGAAAAGAAATGAACTGTTCCTGTAACATGGACAGATAGAAAACAAAACCCCCTTTGCTTGTAAAATACAGCTCTGATCCTTTTCCATTCAGTTCTATTCTTTGCGTGTCTCTCTCTGTAGTATGGTTTAAGACGGATGTTGGAATATGAGGACGGCATCATCCTGCTGGCTACTGCCCTGAATCCAGTCTTTTCGGCAATGATGGTAGACTCTGTGCGACTGCTGTCTGCTCTCTGCATCCTACCAGATCCTGACAACATGTAAGATTTCCGATAGCTTCTTACGTTTCATCTTGGAAACCACATTGGCAGTACAAGTATTGATGTTCTACAGACTTGTGTGGGTGTGTGGCTAGGGGGGTGGAATGCATCTTATATCCAATTCACTCAAAGCATTCAAAGTATCTGAAGAATAATAATTGTTTGGGGGATTTTGGTCCAGCTGTTCATTTTTCAAAAAAAATAGCAACGTGAATAAATTAAGAGCATGTTGCAGAAGACGAACAATTCTTTATAATCTCAAAGGAACTCCATATCAGAGAGTCCTTGCCTCCTGAATGATAACCCTGCATCCCCTTACACTTTGAATTATCAAAGGTTTAACAGCAAAGGAGTTCCATTTCAAAGCTAATGGAAAATTATATTCAAAGCTCTGGAAGGAGAATTCAATACAACCTTTTTTTTCCATATGAGCAGAAATCAACGTTCAGGATCGATTTAGATATTTGAGGGCTCTTTGATCAGTGAAAGTTATTTGGTTGTACCTTTTAACTCTTTTTCAAAAAAGTAAGTCTTTGTCCTCTTTCCCCCTCTCCCCTTCTGAATTCAGCCAAGAAAGGGTTCTTGATGCACTTTCTCTTTGTGGGGAAAGGACGAACAAAGAGAGGTTTGCGCCATTGCTTGAAGGTTTGAAGAATAAGACCCCGGCAGCCTTGAAGGTATCCTTCACTCACAGTAGCACTTTTTGATAATGTATAAGATATAAGATGACTAGTATTAACTTAATTGTGCCAAATAAACAGAGCTGTGTGAAATGTGAGTGACCCATGTTATAAATGATGCTCTGATGTTTCAGTCAGAGGCTAAAAATTGCATCAATTTTCAAGGTTGCAGTGGTTTACAGGCTCCTGGGATGAATATACAGTAAGCTGTGCATAAGTCGCATCAGTCGGGACCATAACATTTAATATGACTTATGTGATGAGTGAGTTACAGGCAAACTTGTATTTAGCGGATTTTATGTGACTAACGCATAACAGTAAACAAGTACATTCACACTGCACTTGTTTCAATGGAATACATTGTACTGTACTGCATAGGCAGTACTTCATCACTGCAGCTGGTAAGTGCGCATGAGGTGACAGATCACGACTTTGTTTCCCGCGCTTGTTTCAACCGGAACACTGCACATGAGTACTTCAATGCAGCTGGTAGCGGAGTTACGAGTCAGGAGATGATTTGCATAGGATTTAGGAATATTTGAGATCAAGAAACTGTTGTGATTTAGCCGTTTATCTGAATTATAAAATATGAAATCTAAATAGTTTTTGATGGGAAACTGAATGAGACTCGTGTGTCTGTTTGACTTGGGCGATTATACGATTTCTAAAGAGATGACTCGTGCGAGCTTTATTGTACATTGCATTTTTATTAATCACATGTTAATCTGCATCTTGAATCTGAGTTGGAAGGTTGTGGGTTTAAGCCACAAGGACACAGAGTTCACAGTCTCAATTGACACCAGTGTAGTGAGGGAGGTGTGCTACATTGTTGAAGTTGCCATCTTTCAGATGAGATATTAAATCAAGGTCTTTTCAGATGAATGGCACTATTCAAAAAGAGAAAGTCCAGTCTATCAAGCTAAATAGCATTTTGGATATGGAAATTGAATATCTTATTAACCTGCCTTCAGTTATCCTCCTACCCCTACCTCCTCCGCTCTCTACCCTTCTTGATAACCAGCTTGGGTGTGATTCCCTGACTGTCCAGCACCTAGGGGCATGAAAGGCGCTATCCAAATGTAACTTGTTGCGGAAAGGAGGTTTTGTACAATGCAAAGTGTTGCGTCACAAAACCCAGAGTCAGTTTCGAAGTTAAAGATCTTCTGAGTCTCTTAAAATCAGAATCTTGTTCTAATTCCGCACTTCTCTATTTGGAGTAAGTGTCTTGGTAGTGTTGTAAAAGGCTTATTTAGCACCGTTTACTTAAGTGCAAATCTCTTTTCATCTCTTCCTTTTGATTGTGTGCTCAGCCCCAAAGCCCCGACCAATGCTGAAAAGGCTGCCCTGACACACTGGGAGTCTGCACACACACAGGAATACAAACACATAAATCTTCTGTCACTTTTCAGCAAAATTGTAAGTAGAGTTGTTTTTCAATGATGCTAGATGAACCAAACCTTTTTTCTTAACCTCAGGCAGTGGAATTCAGGGAATCAAATATTAATAAACAGAGAGAGCGAGAGGGAGAAAGATAATAATTACCACCGATAACAGATTATTTTGTGTGATTACATGAAGACTGTATTAGATTGATCCATGGATCTGATTTTGGCATATTTCTACACTTATGTTGATTCCCAGTCTTCTGAGGTTTCTGAAATGATTAGTGTAACACATTTGACATTTATGTGTCAGCTGGCTCATGTTGGAACACTCTGAGTCAGACGTTTGTGGGTTCAAGCCAAATGCCAGGACTTTAAACTCACGTTGTTTCGGCTGACACTCCGGTGCAATGCTGAGGGAGGCCATCCATTGGCACTGCACTGCATGAGAATTTAAACTGAGGTGCTGTGGACGTTAAAGATCCCATGGCACTGTTCGAAAAGAGAAGGGAATTTCTTCCGGTGTCCTGGTCAACAATTCTCCAAATACAATTGGTTATTCGCTTTGTGGTTATTTGTGGGATATTGCTTGGCAGCTGTGTTTGCTGTTCAAATACACAGTCACCACTGTTTTACTGTAAATCCTGTGAAGCACGTTGAGACATCCTCCTGATGTAAATGATCTACATTAAGCTATTTCAAATTTAAGATTATTTATAAAATATGATCTCCCATAGGCAAGCTGGTACTTTGTTCAGTCAAAACATGCAATAGTTACTTTGCTCTTTTTGTACCAGTCGCACTAGCCAGAGTATTGAGATTAACAGTGAGAATAAAGATAATAGCACGATATACCTATTTGATATAGCACATTGTCGCATCTTGAGACGTTTCAAAGCGCTTAACAGAATACACTGTAAAATGAATTGACTGTGTATTTTGTGGGCAAAACATGGCAGCCAGTTGCACACAGACTTGACCTGACCCAAAGTTCCTTTGGAGCCAAGACCATTACCTTGTGACATCGGGTATGGCTGTACAGAGAAATGAAGAAAAAATATTGATACTTAAAAATGATTTGTTTTAACTGATCTGAATCAGGACAGCAGGGGAGATGCTACAATCTACCTCAGTGCCCTGGTTTAGAGTTTCTGCTCCTGATTCTTATCGAACGACCCACCCCACACTTGCCTGGAAAATGTTTGTATGAAGTTGGAGAAAGACGTGTGTGCAACCAAGTTAGCACTTTCAGGAAAGAAGGCGAAAAGTGAGTTAGAAGAAGCTATTTTTAAATGAAAGACAGCTGTTGTTTTGATACAAACTTTGAAGGATAAGAATAAGGTTATCCTTGGTGCGTCCTTTATTATAAAGTAAAAGTTTTTTTTAATATAAAAATTTAGATAGATTTGAACAGTAAACCTGAGGTTATAATCCAATCTGGAGGCTGCACTGACACTCGCATAAATTGTTCGCACTTCACTCTTGTGGTTTTATGACTTTATCAGAATTGTGTGATTTAATTACCACCTCATAACTCACTGCCAGCCATCTGTTAGTCAAGATACCTATTTGGAGAACAAATAGGTTTACATTTGTGAATATTATTACAGTGCTCATCACCTCCAGCTAACCCATCGAATTTTCATTCAAAGTATTCATTTTGAGAAGAGTGACGTTGATAGACTGTGAAAGATGAAGAGAAAAAACAAGTTTGGAATAAATTGGTTAAAGCAAAGGGCATTCGCGTAAAAGATGTTTGCCATTGTTGTACAGGGCGATTGTGGAGAGTGCAGCCCTGCATTAAACACAACATATTGTCCTGAGTAACATATTCTTTCAAATGGGTTCCTATTTCACCCATTGTCAGTAGAAAATTAAATTTACTATATGGGACTCAATCTCAGACGTTAAATAAGAACAGTACAATGGAGGGAAAGTATGTTTAATAGAAAGGTCTAGCTCTTATGAAAATGTTTTTTTTGTGGGCAAGCATAGCTCTATCTGACAGGAGATGTCCATTATATCTGCTTGTCTTACTCCCTCACTTTGGGAAATGACACTTCAGATTTCAGTGATGAAATCGGTGTCTGAACCTGGTTCTCGTGTGCACTCATCTCGTCCTGAATGCTGCCAGCCTCTCAGCCAGAGTCCAGCCCAGCATGACAGTAATCTGAGACTGGTTGTTGATGGCAGCAGAACAGTTTACACAGAAGGCAGGCCTGAAATGTTCGGCCCTGAGAGGAGTTGAAAGGTTGAAAATATGCCTGATTTTTTTTATAACTTGCATTGTTTACATAGATGTTTGCGTTATACTCTCTGATATGCCTTGAGCCTCGGTACAACTGGTTGATATGTAACTGGCTACTATATTCACCCACAAAGCCCATAGTCTCTTTACAGTACATTCTGTGAAGCACTTTGGGACGTCTTCCCAACATGAAAGTCATTAAACCAAATGAAAGTATTATTGTTGTTATGAAACACATTGCTTATGGCTCCCACTTTAAGAGAAACTAACTTAAACATTCCTTATCACAGCTTTCATACAAAATGACATTCACTGTAATAGACCTTTTATACTGCTTGTGTGTGGAATGAGCTAATATATCAGTAAGTAAGAAGGTATATGAAGGATAGATGCCTGAAGGGGTCTGGGGATAAGGCAGGGCAGTGGGATTGAATGAACACCTTGCAGTGAGAACCGATGCAGAATGGCTTTTTTCTGCGCTGTAAATTTCCATGATTTTATGAAGTAATATTTCTTTGACACAGAAGTGAAACCATACATGTGTGAAACTCACTGTAGGTGTTTTTTATTTACGTGAAAACAACCAAGGACTAACTGATGGAAATATTCAATATTCAGAAACCATTAGTTTAGTGATCAGAAATTATTGGTTTCAGAATATAAAGTATTAGAACAATCACAATCCATAAACATACATTTACCTGAAATTGGGCAATGTGGGCTCTATTGTTAGTAATCTCACCTCTGGGCCAGAAGGATGTGGGTTCATGAACTCAACTATTTTTTATGTTTATATTTAAAGTTATTTTTTACAGCTCAAACTAGGCTGACACTTTAGCGCAGTACTGGGAAGTGTTGTTGTGTTGGTGGTGCCATCCTTTAAATGGGACATTAAACTCATCAGATGGTCTTCAAATAAACAACAATTTTGCATTTTTATAGCCCCATTCATTCTTGGAGCCGAAATAAAGATCCAATTACTCTGTTGAGATAAGGGAGGTCTTCCTTGTGTCCTAGTCAATAATCCTCCAGACAAAATATCTCATGTTTCTGATTGTGGTACATTGCTGTGTGCAAGTTGTCTATTACACTTTGCAGTAAAATCCTGTGAAACACTTTGAGACTTTTCAACAATGTTACAAGGCATTATATCAAATGCAGAGATTTTTAAAAAAATTATTAGAACAACTGCTGTGTTTGCCTCCAAAAATTGTAAATTCATGAGACAATATTTAATATGAAGCCCTTTGAGTAGTTTTAACACAATAAGATGCTGGAAAAATGCATGTTCTTCTTCAGTTGGCTGGTACGTGAAGATTTATTTCTTCTCATGGGAATAAAAGGGTTTGGTGTTGGGTAATGAGCAT